CCATAAACTAAATTTGCGAATCCTATTAAAACATGGAATAACGTTACCCTGTATAGCGACCCCCCCGTCTCGCCCTCTACTTTCGTTAATAAAAATTGCATCCGTGCTCTTGCATCAAGGTGCAATTACCGTCTTACAGAAACTACCCCTTGGATCTCCATGCGCCATGCGTTTCGCTTTGTCTTTTAAAGAAATCCCCTCCTGAACCGTCGTGCACCTCTCGTCGCTGGACTCGCGAGTTATCTCGGACACGACGATTTGACAGTGTGCGTGGAAACTTTTGTTCCAGTTAGATGGTCGTAGTTAGAACGTTTGCCAGAGAGAAAGTACGGAATAAATGGAAGAAGGAGAGCGGTAGGTGTCTGTCAAAAGAGGCGTCGTTAGTGCCGGGGGTGTAATTCCGCGATCTCCGTCGTGTTCTCTCGGTTCGTTTGTTCGTAAAAGAACAGTTAACACGTGTGTGCGTATACGTGTACGGGGTGTGTCTCGAAAAAAACGGAGGGGCAAAAACTAAATAGGTTGTAAGGTTTTCGTCTCGTTGAAACTTGACGTTGCTTTTGAAAATAATCCTGGTAATTTCTGTTGAATTTTAATCCAACGAATCACGGTGAAAGTTGCTGACGAAAGGAAAACGAAGAAGGTGAAATGATCGTTGAAAAGGTATAATGGATATTGTGTAGCGGCATTTGTATCGACGGGATGACCCATTGGACAATGCTAGGGGGAAAATCCCGTAAATCGACAGCGATTTCATTATCAATTTAAACGGCCGTTGAAATATGAACCGATCGATAATCCATTTCGGTCTCGTTCGTTATCCACCTAGAGACTGTCGCAGCTGATATTTCATTCGAAAGCGCGACGGTTACGGGGTTTCAAGGAAAGACTTTCAAAGAACGACGTCCTATTTGTTGATGCTTTTAAGGAATGAAGACGAATCCCCGTGGAAGGGAAAGGAATTTATTGGAACGAAAGGTATCATTCGGATTCGTTGTCGAATAAAATCGAATAGAAATTTTTTCCATCCCCCAATTAAGTTGGAGAATTTTATTTGATTCGGTAATTTTCATTTTAATTGCAAAGATATGCGGCAATCGTATATTGGATGAAAAGAATTCGAGCAAAAATATTCTTCGCCCCATTCGAGCCCTTCAACTTTCATTTCATCCCTAAATGGATACGAGGGAGTAATGGATCAAAGGAATACCCAGAACGATTCGTAAAAATTCCCTTCCTCTCCCCCCGAGGCTTACAATCATCGAGCATCGATGATGACCTGGAAACCTTTCGTCCTAATGGATGAACAGATAGGGCTGCGAAAAGTTCGATTCGCGGGAATCGAGGTGTCAGATAATTTTCCCTTCGATCCCTAGGGCACGTAAGCAAGGAACTCGTTCGAAAGTTGCCAGCCACCAGAATGTTATCCGCTTTGAAAAATTCACGCGATCCAATGCGAACGGCGTTAAAAAAACCTGTACATTTTCCTCGAAATCATAAAACCATAAAACTGCTGATGAAACAATCGCGAATTTCGGTATAAAAATGAACGACAATTTAATTTGAAAAAAATGCATCGTGCACTTTTTGCGCAACGAATGCAATTCAGATTTAAATGATAATTGAATCGATTATTCATGAAGAGGGGAATTAATTAACGAGCCAACTGAACAAACCCTTTCGATAATTCGGAAAATTGATCCGCTGTCTAAACACGTTTGAACAAACAATAAAGAGCAAAGCGCGTACACGGTGTGGTGCGCAAAACAGACAAACAGAGATCTTTCATTAACGTTACAGGATATGAAAGTTCAGAATCAAATATTTGCCTTTCATAAAACTCCACCATCCCCGTTCCATTCGAAAGTTTCTCTTTTCCGCGATGTACAAAGGCAAATGCAACGATTTTCCCCGGCCAACATCCCGATAGACAAAGAACATTCATGGCGTATGGAGGTAACAACGAAGCATCCTCGTTAAATCTGTCCTACAGAGCAATAACTAGATTCTGTCGTAAGCACACCTTTTATGCTAACATGGCTGCCTTTCCCATTTTCATTATCCTTTTCATTCAAGTTACATCTCGAAGCTGTGGCTACCTCTCCGAATAGATATTATTTATTAAGATCTCATTGAAATTCTCAAAGTTTTCGAGCAGCTATTTCAAAAACGTTTCATTTAAAATTCATTTAGAATGGAAAATCTTCAGAATGCAAGTGAAGAATGTTCATCCCTTTCCTATTTAACTTTCTAAAGAACAAAGTATCTGAAATTTCCAAAACGTACGTATCACGATTTGATTCCAAACGGGTGAGCTTTGCCAAAATTTTCCAAGTGTCTCAACAATGTTTCACTTCGAATAGAAATATCGAGATGCTTTGAAATTCCGAAATGATTGAAGTGGTGGTAAATTAGTAACAGAGAGACTCGTATGCCCATCACTAGTCCAAGTACACCACTTGTATTTACTACACTCTAACGCGGGTCTATTTTCGCCAGGCACGAGTTATTAACAGAATCGTGCTCCAACTCGACGATTCTCTGTCGTGCTTGTTGTCTAGATGTAATAATAGTTCCTCTAACGATAATATTTGCAGGAACAAACAAGTATACACCGGTGCGTTCCCCTTCGACTTTAACAGTATTCGCTTCCAATTTATATTCGTCCAAACATTCTTATCATTTTTCAAATTTTCTTAATTTTAAGGAAAAGTACGACACGCTATGACTAATTATTTAGAATACCGGCAAATAAATTTTTCACTTGCTTAGAAATTAATTATGTGCTTAATGTTTTAGGGTAAACTAGAGGCGTTAGTCAAAATTTATAATTTAAATTCTAAAACACTTAACAGTGGGGTCGGTTCCAAATGAAAAATGTCAAGTAGCTATGTAAGATTTGATTATAAAGAATTTTGCTGTAAGTGCAATTTTGAGTTGTAAAAATCAAAGTATTACTAACGCCCCCGGTCTATCCTATGCTTTAAAACGAAACTTCATTCCTTGTTAACGTGCAAAAGGAAATTAGTAAAATAGAGTTATCGCAGAAAATCGTCGAGAGTAGGTTTACAAAGGGTTTGAAAGAAGAGGATTACGAGAATGGTTCGCGGAAAGGAAGCGAAAAATCACGTGGAAAAAGTTCTCCGCGAGGGAAAGTTTCCCTCGGTGTAAATTACGGCCCATGGGGTTTTTAAAGAGCGCCGGCCACGGTATATTTCATTTCCTAGTTAAAGGAAGAAAGTCGCATAAATGTCGGCGTGAACAAGAAAAGCTTTAACCGGCAACTTTTGTAATTACCAGTACCATCGAAAAAAGAGTACACCCGTGGCACGGAAAACAACGCCGAGACTCGATTAAATGTTTCGGCCGATCCTCAGGGTAAAAAGTTGCTGTTTCTCGGTTCTTTTACTACAATTAAAGGGTATCGTGTTCTATTACGCTGCATTTGTCTAATTGAATAATTAAACGACGAATAATGGAGTACATTTGATTACGAAAGAGGGAAAATTACAAAATTCAATTTAATTAAATAATAAGAACGAAACAATTAATATTAATTATGCCATACTACACGTGAGGTTAGTATGGCGTTTAATATTAAAAGTATCAACGAATTTGGTTAATTACTGCAGAAGTAAAATCAAAATTCAAATAAAATAAAATTCAAGTTAAAAGAATTCAAAATAATATACTTAAGTAAAGATATTTGTTGATGGTATTCACGCACGTTACTTAAGTCGACTGAAACACGTGAACCATAATGTTTGTTTGTATCGTGGAGCATGGTACCGAAGCGACATAACCTCTCCACTCGACGGACCAAAACACAGATCACCTTTGTATATCCGCACATTAATCTGGTATTGCCATCTTTCACTAACTACGTGTTTGTACAACAAACGTAGGTCCGTCAACGCCTCGATAATGTAACAAAACGAAAGATTCGCGTTCTTTCTTCGTTCGACCGTAGTCACGTGACTACGGTTCGAAATCAATGGCATCTGATGCGTGACGTCGAACCGTAAACCGAGGTTAACGCGACGCGTAATTTCTCTGCGAACGATCGATTCGAATAAAGAAACGAATAGATAATTATATAAAAATAAACTTGCCACTGATGAGTAATCCGCTCTGTTGACAGGTTGATGACGACCACTACGACGACCACCACGACGACAACGGTGACGATGACTGTGTAACACTGGTTGATCGACTTTTCACTCGACAACGTGGCAATCGAATAAGTTAGCCAGGTTGTGGTGTCAGTGGATGGGTCGATTGGGTTAGGTCGGTCGGTCGGTGGTAAAAGAGAAGAGAGAGAAAGAGAAAGAGAGAAAGAACAGGTATAGGTTCTGGGCCTGGACAACGGTACGTGGTGTAGCAGGGCCGGGGGCTGACGCGACACTGTTCGCGGGCGTCTATACACGCGTGCTTCATGCGCATCCCGCTATGCGCACTCGGACTCGTCACGTGCTCCGACTGATCTAGCCAATCACGGTGGGCTGTTATTCGCTCGACCAGAGGGTAACTTCGGTAGCGCGAAATTTTAAACATTCGTATGCGACATAAATAAAATAAAAAAAGGAGTTTTAAATAAATACAATTCAATACGCGTTCAATCTACGTTTCTTAATCTATCAATGAATTTAAACGGTTAACTATGATCGTATTATAATTAAAATAATAATTAAAAATGTTAAGTTATTGATATGTTTTAAAATAAACTACAAAATTAGAACGAAAATTCAGGACTCGAAAACCATGAAAAGAGATATATCTGCAGATATCCATTAAGCTTTCCAAAGAGAAGCCTGTTTTCATATCATTTAGAGTCCCATTTCTATCTTTCATTTCTAAAAAAATATACATTCACGTAATGTAAGCAGTACGTTTCAATTTCCCTTGGTCACAGTACTTCATCATGCTCCACGATACACGGATGAGATAAAACGAGCCCAGTCCAAATAACAAATAAATACAAAGGTAGAGTAGCTTGAAATTACCTCAAAAACGATGATCAGTATATCCGTGGCATTAATAGCAACCGCAGGACGAGCTCCACAAGGCAGGAAGGAAAGATTATGGCACCCCTGAACTTTGGCCAACGGAACCTCGATTAAGATCAACAGAGGAGGTCGCTCGCAACAGGTGAGGTCGCACGCTTTGCAGGAACTGTGATCTTCCTTTCGATACACACGTCGGTACGCAAGATAAAAAAATCTTTTTCTGCAAAAAAAAAAATAATATGTACAAGCTTCTGTTTATTTAAATTAAAAACTCTACAAGTAAAACTTCTGGAAACTTTTCAAAACTTCTTCTATCTTTCCTTTACCTTTTCCAGGATAAAATGATTTTGTTTAATTAATTATAAAAGACAATGATGCCTGATATTTTTTTAATGCTTATAAGACACACACGAGCAGCTACATGTACAAATTTCTCAGAGTTACAATGAAAACATTCTTACTCTCCAGAGATGCTTTACTTTGCATTTTTACTCAGACACAAAGTATCCTTGACGGATTATTCCAGGGGGACAGTAAAGAGTAAAGGAAACGGGGATATTTGTGGGCTAGGAGGTAAAAAGTTTCGCGTTACGTAAGAGAAAAATACCGCATGAATCTTGTATCCGCCTCGATTGATGCAACATATTAATTTCAAAAGTATACGTCAAAGAATATACACAAAGAAATATTCGACTTCCGTGATCAACGTGTTTCCTTTGTTTCCCGGCGTATCTTACGCGAAGAGCGTAAATCGAGCGATATTCTGGAGATAAAAAGAAGAGGAAGACAAAAGGAAGCAACCCCCAGCGAGGAAAGTAACAAGCTTCCGATCGTGAAGCGACGCAAAAATAAGACAGAAAAATCAGTGAACGATCGTGCTGGAAGAGTGGTTCTCTGGCAACAGGTGCGAGAGACAACATCGAGAATGGCACGTAACTTTTCGCAAGGTCGACTTTCAGAGGAGCCGAATATCGATGCTCGGATTCGTTCGTAATATCGTTTTCGAAGCCGCGAAAACTTCTATCCAGGTCTCGTTCTTTTAACCGGTAACTTTCTCCGTTAGACACGTGCAACGCGAAGAACGCGCGAATCACCGTCTCGTAAAAGAGATTTTATGAGATTTCACTGGCCCGCACAGACCGATCCTCAACGAGTGCAACAAACTTTAACAAATTTTTAAAAATATCTTTCCGAATGAAAGAAATAAAATTGCCCTCTTTTTATTTGTTTCAATAATTAGTTACCTACATCAAGGAACGAGGAAAATAAAATAAATAAATTCGCTGAAAGGAACAATATCTTTTTCCAATGCCGTTCGCTTCCTACGTCGAATCATTTCCTCCTTTAATAATCCGATATCCAGCGATATCCTTTAACGCTGCTTTTCCCTCTGATGTCTGCTCTCATCTTTCGCAGTACACTTTTATCCGTGAAGAAATAGAATTTAATATAGCATTACTTCTCAGTATCGTACGATAGAATCGATATCGAAGAATTATTCGTAACCGATACGTCGATAGGATATATTAAATCAATAAATATTCAAACTGAAACTGTATTTTCTCAATGCCACGGAACCACTTCGAAGGGCTACGAATGACACCGGACCGCGAAAGGGGTGAAGGTCGGAAAGAATAGAAAAGGAGCTCGGGGGCTCTAAGAAAACGAGGGAAAGGAGTGCCAAAGGGTGCACGTGACATAAGTGCACACATGTAGGTAGGCGTTTGTACACGTGTATTCGCCACGGTCGACATTAAAGAGCCTGTCGCAATATCGTAGGAGGTACCGGGACAGAGAGCGAGCGTCCAGAAGCTCGAGGATACGGAGAGTGTAATGTAAACTAATTAGTAGCGAGTCTACGGCAATTAAGGCCGCTGGAGTGCTTCGCACTGACACTCCGCCAACAGGACGTATCAGGCACCAACAGCATTGTCGAACACGCTATGGGATACGAAGACGAGTAACCATGGGTTGGTTGATAATATATTGGATAAATTGAAATTCTATGCGAAAAGATAAGAGGAAAATAAAAGAGAAATAAATCGATCCCTCCATAATTCCTTCCAACTTCTTTAAAATATTCCTCTGTTTCGTGCACGCTTACTAATTTTCAGTCACAACTCCAATTACTCGGCTAACTGCAGACAATTCATCAGAGCTACGAGCCAATACACCACCCGCAGCGATTTGAATCTCCAGCTCATAACCCCAAATCGACCTGTCGTTTCCTTTCAGAAACACCCTTAACACGCCCTTCGCAAAGGGTTGCCAGAGACTCGACGGTCCATTACTTTCGACCCTCGTTGATCACTGGTCTTAGAGGAGCGCAACATAGTCTATAAACATCGGGTTACGAAGTCGAGGCGACATTATTCCGTCATGTAACGTACGATCGATGATCGGTGGCGATGGTGGTGGTGGTAGTGGTGGATTGCCTTACATCGGCAGAACCGGAAACCCCAGGGGATGCTAACGTATATGGAGGGTGTTATCGGGTCGCAAAGCGGCTGCAGCTCGGAGCAATTGGACTAACGGGCACGGGTCACAGTTTAGGCATTGAGGGGGGGGGCACGACACGATAATAGGAAAACACTAAATCGGGAAATTACGCTCACCCCGCGACGTCTGCCACACCCGCCTGATCGATTCTGAAACGCAATTATACCGAAACAGGACGAGCCGAAACGGCAGGAAAATCGCTACGTTCCACTGGATACCACAGACGAACATTTTGATGAGGTGTCTTTGTGGTTCTCGTTCCTCATTAATTGACAGTCCGCGATTAACCCTTTCTACAGAATTGATTTTTTAAATTAAGAAGTTCGATACTTCGAGTTCGATGGAAATCAATGTAAATTGAAAGAGGAAGAAATTTGAAAATGTTATTAAATTAAAGTAATATTCATCTATCGAGTTTTCAAGTTATCATCCTTTTTATGATATACTTTAATTTCTGAAATATTACTGCTCCGCTGCGGCAAGAGTAGCTTCGCGAACGTTATTCGAAACTGTCATAACCGTGGATTAATTTTTAAGAGGATCCCCTTCGGTACCGGCTAATGTCGTTCTTCTTATTTCCAATTTGTAACCTCGAGTTTTCCACAAATTTGCCCACGATTACCCGACCGGACGGTTAGCCAATCTCGTGATATAATCTGTGAAATCCGTGCAATCTCACTCGTCTCAGACGAGCTCTCCTCGTCCTGGATCACGCTAACTTAATGAAGTCCTTATTAACCGCGAGTTTCAAGCCGTCAGAGACGAGAAGTACTCGAACTGGCTGGAACTGCAACGATCGATCCATACTTTTACTTTACGAATCGCTTCCTCCGGAAATTGAATAATTAGAAGAAGAAAAGGAAGTAACAATTTTTAATAAGATTCCAATTGAAAGGATATGATTAAAAATAAATAATCCGGAAGGTCGGCGACGCACGGTATTTAAACTCGAACATTAGAATACTTCAAATTTCTAATATTAAATATGAAAAGTAAAATACATAAAATAATTCTTAGTGCGATCGTTAACTCCGAATGTTCCATGTTTTCTTTCATGCCTTTCTCTATTGTTAATATGCTTTGTTCCATTTGTTTATTGTACCTACAACTATTTACGTATTAACGGTACTCAACAGCGAATGCTTTTTGTTTAATGCCACAGAAAAAAGGCACATTCTTCCTCCATTTCTATTACAATACTGTACTTTTTACTGTTTGCTTTTTACACAACAGAGGGATTTTTCTGCTACAGAAAAATAAGGATCTTTTATGTTTCAAGAATATGTTACATGTGTCCATTCGCATAGCATACGTAACGCATTTCTCTTTACAAAATTGCAGAAATTTTTCTCGAGGAAATTTCAGAGGTTTCTGGACAACGTCGTCCAGTTTTCATTCGTATAAATCTACTTCTGTCGCAACGAAGACGAGAAAGACGTACGTAATACATAAATGACGTCAGAATGGAGTCGCGAGATCGTATCTCGGATTATGAATAAAATATTATTCGTCTCGACGTGAAACGGTATCGATTAGCTCGATTACGCTGTTCACCCTTATTTGTAATTATAATAACAAACCAATCTGGTAATCGTCTGAACCTTTATGCAACATAATTGAATTTAAGATCGAGAATGTTAACGATTCTTTGAATCTTCCTACGGTCCTTCAGAATTTTCCATAATTTCCAGTCATTTACCAACTATCCCTGGGTAAAATACGAAGAATCACGAACTTTCAATGCCTGCTCGCATTATCTTCGCGAAGACTTTCGATCTTCGACCGAGCCGTCGTTATTAACGTCGCGATTGCTCTCCTCCAGATTAATGGATTCTTGTTTGTCTATCGGCGGGCTACACTTCTCGCTTCCACGATCGACGGATTTTAATTAAGATCATGTGAATAGAATTGCACGGTGAACATTGCCGCGACAAAACTCGGCTCGAATTTGAAAACGATCTATGATCGGTGATTACGAATCCACCTCCACGTTTTATTAATTTTATTCATAGCATACTCCTGGCAGGAAGAGATTGAAAAGTTCCGGACACGCATCCAACATCCAGATGCCAAGATAAACGAATTAGCCACCGCGGTAAACAGTTTAATTCACTTTACCGAACTGCACCAACGTTCCCGCTACTCCCATCTAATTAACTTATCTTAACATCAGAATGCAATTACGATCGAACTGCGTGCACGCGAGACTGCACGACCCTTAAAATTACGTAAGTAACTTACGATTATTACGACTTTCAGCCCCCCCGGTTTCCCACGAAGCCTTCTACACTTTCAGCATCCCCTTGAGATCCGGATAAATGAATGGAAAGTAAAATTTCTCGAGCGTTCCCCAGGCATGTATTTCGAGAGGATATAAAATTCAGTTTAATATAAACCTTCTTGTTTCACCTTTAACCAAAGAGAATTTGACAAAGATCCACGGAGATAAATATGTATAATAATTTTTCACGGGAAATGAAAAACCGACGATTTTGCATCGTTTCGGAAAAGTTTTTCCATTACCCGGCTATGTTATTGTCCCGTGAAAACTCGACTTCGGAGATAAAGTTAGAACGTACGTTACGTTTTGTCCACGATACACCTCATCTCTTAGCAACCAAGTTCTAAACGAGAAATGGTACGGAACAATTTTGCTTAACCTTGCTAACTTTGTACCGAACCTATTTTGTATAAGCGGAGCGTAAATAGCAGTTGCAGAGA